TTGTCCGAAAATTTTTTATGAGATCCTTTAATAAAATAAAAACACCTGTATTTTGGGATACGGGTAGATATCTTCTGGCAAAAAAAAATTGCAAAATTTTTTACAAAGATAATGGTATTCTTATTTTATAAAAAAAACATATAACAATTTTTTTTTTCAAAATCCGTCCGATTTTTAAAAAAATGGATCATTTGTTTGCCAACTGCACTCCATATTATGCTTATGCATTAATTTTTATATATCTTTACATACATATATTATTGTATTTAAAACGTGATAAATTTAATTCATACTAATTCAAAATTGCAACTATATACATTGTTATAAATATAAATATTTATATTAGGCTTGCGCAATGGACGATAAAGGTTGCTATATATTAGACAATAATGGTTTTGTCATCATATCACCGCATCGTCAAGAGACTGGAAAATTTTTTGGTGAAATCAATGGTTATATTATGCACCGCTTGGTTGAAGAAAGAGTGTACAAACGTGTTACTGTTTACGACTATCAAGCGATTTGTTTTCAATCTAATGGAGACAACAATTCTTCCAATTACTTATTTTCGGTAAAATAGATTTTATTTATATATTACTATATATTGTCATACAAATTTATATTATTCCCTAGCCCTTACTCCATGTGCTACGCATAGTTAAATGGCTGCTTTATACTTTATTGTGGTATATTGTACAAATGCATGCGGTAACTGCTGAGTTTATAGAGCAATATACGGATGAAAATTTGACCTTTTACCAACCTAGTACGAAAAACACCGAATGGTTAAAATCAGTAACATTGCAACGTACACGGCTTAAATCGTGCGATATGCAACGTCTGTTATATACATTGTACAATGACAAGGATAATGTAGTCTATAATATAACAGCACATGCATGTGTTAGGCCCTTTGTTGTGTTGCCTATACCAGCGAGTAATCTAATATTACTCGTCATTGATCAGGTGTGCCCTAAGGAATATACGATGGAGTTGACCGTAAATCCCATCGACATTAATTATGAATTAGAGGGAAATGATACATTAGCATGCTATAAGCATGATCGTGAGTTCACAAGAGTACGTCCTGTAAGTTGTATTAACAGGCATGTTAATGTAAGTACTTGCACATAATTTGGCTTGAGTTCTCCACCAGAAATATAACCCCTACTTTTACAGGAAAGTTCTATCGAATTGTGCGGCAATGCTGGAAGTATTTTCGCAAATATCTTATTACTACTTATTTGCTTTATTGTTAATCAATTTCTTTAACAATAATTTAAACAGATTAAGGTTTAAACGTTTTTGTAATTATAAAATATTTATTGTATATTAAATTAGTATTTATGCTTATGGTTTTTCATAGATTTTAATGGGTAAATTGTTTTTATTATTAATTTAAAAAATGTTTTTATAAGCTATTTATTTGCTTTATCATTATTTCCCATTAATTGATCATTTTATTAGCTATTTATATACTTGTATGTAATATGTCTTTGACATGGAGATTGCATGTAAATTTGTATTTAAGGAACCGATTTGTTGGCGCGTACAGAGTTAAAAGATACTTATAGAAAATTAGCTTTTGTACATTAAAAATTATATTAAAAACTATAAACAAAAATTTTGTATACATAGATATATATTATGATAGGTAAATTATTATATAAAATTCTGTAAATTTATCAATTTATTAGTTTAGTAATCTAGATAATTTAAATGAAAGTAACATGTACCTACATTGAAAATAAGAAATGATATTAAACTAACTTAATAACCTTACAAATATGTTCCCCATCTAACTGATGTAGAACTTTACTTAAAAATGTGAAGATGTTATTTACTGCATATATACATACTTTTCATATAAAGAAAACACATTTTCTAAAATATAATATAAAAGGATTTTGTGCTATCTGAAAAATAGAGCACTGAAATTATAGCAGATCTTTTCTGTTAACAATTGCCCTTAATTGATCCAAGTATCCAAGTTTATAGACTAGTCATGTTGGTTTACTTTTACTTTAATGGAGGATAAAAGAACCTTCCATCTGCTTTGTTATTATCTAGCATATGTGCAGCGCAGCCTTATCACTTTATGGGGTTTCTATTTTGAGTATCTTGGCGAACTGCAAGACCTCCTACTGAATAGCATTATAAGCTTTGCCAAATATTATATTCTAAGTGGTTCTAACCCTTGAGTTTTTTATTATACGGTAACACAATAGGTCTAACCTATGGAAAAGTCGACTAGTGACGTCATCTGTGCATCGGCCTTTATACTTGTTTTGATGGTCCACTTATTATCGCGTATCAATCAGTGTTTAATCCATGATATCATGGTCCATTGTATCAATAATGACCCATTATTTGTGCTTAAGTGGGTTTACTGAATGCAAGGCTACTACTCTAACCTAATCTACATATTTTTATTTACAATTAATTCTAATACGCAAGCATAAATAAAATTTTTAAACCTGAATGAATTGAAAAAACTAACGATTTTTTTTCTCTCTTAATTAAAACATAACCTAAAAAATTTATTTTTTTCATGAAATATTTGCTATTACATTAGGCTAAGTCTACATCAGTTAAAAAAGATAAACATTTTTCTCTTCTCAACAGTTGAAAATATTATAATTTATTTAATAATATTGTAAAAATAAAAATCTGTTTGTTATTATATTAAAAATTTATATTAGCTGAAATATACAAAAATAATTGTTTTCTTCTACAAATACATTGCAAGTTATTAAGCTGTACCTACACATAAACCACATTCTTAAACACTACACAAGACAACTATTACCAAAGATTCCAGAACAAAATTTTTAGAACTAAATTTTAATAGCATAATTCTTGTTTTTAAAATTAACTTATAAATTCTACGATATTCCGAACTAAAGTACTATGTACGAGCATTAAGTAAATTTAATATATATTTAATTATAAAAATAAAATAAAAATAGAAAAATAGATTAAATCTTCTGAAAATGTGCTAAAGCTTTTATATTAAACAAATTTATTATATTAATAACATTGCAGAATAAAATATATATAATACACATTTTTCAATAAATCGAATTCAATAATATAAGAAGTTTTTTTTATTAAATTAATAGAATTGGACACAATAGACTTAAATCTTCAATGAACAATAGATCCGAATGGTAATGCAAATAATTTCAAACCTCTCCATGCGTGCAAGAAAATATTTAATTTATATAATATATTATGTTGTACCTATTGATATATATATGGTGGGACGTTGGGACAGCGCACTGTCCAACAAGTGGCCCCACTGAAGTAAGGATTAGTCGAAGTAGACCACGAAACGACTTGGGTCCTTTTCCTATTGATATAGTTTTATATGAATTCAAATAAAAGGTATTCATCTGATCAGTAAAAGGTGTTCATAAATTTCCGAAAAACGGGATGTCGGAAATAACAAAATTTTGACCCAATAAAGGTTGTTAAAAATGTAACTAACATAAAATATAAGTCAGCATGAAATATCTCTCTTGAAACGATTTTATGTAACTATTCTTGTGAAATTATCTCAAAATACTTTCTTTGAAAGGTAACAAAAGACTTCAAGCGACTAGTGATATACTATTAGTGATTAAAGTTTGAATACATATGGGAGCAACAAGCACAAACAGAAGTGTTCTTCAAACCAACTTAAAAATATTTTTAAATAATGATAGAATTAACACTTCTCAAATTAAACTAGACAATAATGTAATCATATCTCCATTTCTCGTCAAAAGACAAAAACCAGTATCAAATCTTCTAAATTCAAATCCGCGTCAGTTTTTAACCTAAGATTGCAAAAATCTTAAACTCATTAAAAGTTATATTTACATATATGCTTTTGATATATTCAAAAAAGATAACTTGAGACAGAAGTAATAATACCTAAAACTGAAAAATCTTCATATCAAATTAACTCACACGGTTTAACTATAGTTTTTTTAACTAATCTGACAAAAGTTCTTAAAAAAATATTTTTAAAGCGACTTACTGAAACAATTAATAAAGAAAATCTGATTCTGCATTAATAATTTGATTCCAGAACTAAACATTTAATATTGGAATCTTTTTCATTAAAGTAACAATACAATTGAAAATGGCTTAAAAAGAAAGAAGTGATGTTTTACAGTGATCTTAGATATTTCACAGGCCTTTTGGGAAAGTTTGGGATAATGATATCATATACAAACTGCGAATACAAAAGTTAAAGAAATATTGTGATTTCATTTAAGCATTCATAGGAAATCGGTACTTTCAAATTTAACAAGAAGTCTATTAGTCTACACTTCACAGATAAGAATACTGGTCTTATACAAGGCAGGTACTAGGACCCATATTCTTTCTACTATATTCAAATGACATTCCAATAACAGAAGACTATAAAACTGCAATATTTGCTAAGCAAGTAAAATATTTACACTTTATTATGGTTATTATGTAGTGATATAGTGTATTTTGACGTTAATGGACAACGTCAAAATACTATGGAAAATACTAATGGACAATCCGAAAACGATTCAAACTTAACAGTACAAAATCAGTGCACAACTTCGCCATTGTTCCATTAAATTTAGGATAGCTCACAGCTTTTTATTACATTTTTAAAATATTACTTCTGACACACTTTCAGAAGAAGGTGACCATATAGCCAAGCCCCCCCTAGCTACGCATATAATTACTCTTCACATTACTAAGAAAATAGCAGTGAAAAAATTGGAATACTGTTAATAAATTTATTAGATGAAAAACAGTTTCATAGTACATATTGGTCGACTTCAAGTAATTGGTAGCTTTTAGGTCTGTTTTAAATTTCTTTTACAGTTTTTATATTTATTGTAATTAATACTTTTGAATCACCTTTGAAACACTTTGCTCTGGTCATCATAATGTTAACTTTTAAATTGCTAAAATAACGCTTATCATTTCTGTAAAGCATTTAAATCTTATATGGGAATATTTTCTCACAAGCGTTGTACCAGCACCACTGCCGTTGAGGGAACCATGCTAGTCGGTATGAATAATCTGTGACAAAAGTGCCTGATATATGCTTTGTTACTGTCCAGTGCAAAAGCATCAGGGATTAACTATACTAGGGGCTTACTTTTTTGACGATCTTGGCCAGTTCCAAGATATTCCTTTAAAGAGCTTTTAGGTTTTGCCATAGGTAAGTTCTAATCTTTGAATCCTCAAAGTTTCATTCACTAGCCCTAAGTGGATTCTTACGATCGCCGGTATAAACTATTCGAACCTAACCTAAATTAGATTTACTTAATACTCATTAAAGTCCCTACTGTTGACACTTGTTTGAAAGAGTACTCCCCATAAAGTATATGTATAGTGAACATATTTTTAGCAATTTAAAAAAAAAAGGTCATGACGCTCAGTTGAAAGTATTCCTACCTTAATGCTAATGTTATTTCGATAAGAAGATAGAAGAGTAGAAGATAAATAATCGAAACGAAATATTGGTTTTAAATTTTTGATGCCTAGCAAGTAAATCTGATATATACATTGAACCGTTTATGATATTCTTATAGCTTTTATATATGACACTATTGAAGATCAAAAGAGAAAATATTATTGTTATTGTTGTAGTCCGTGGAAGGAAGTAGTATGAAGTAATTTTTTAGGATTATAACTTTTGTTTCGTACGTTGTATTTTGTATATCTCCATACATATTTCGGCAAATTCACTTTTGCCTTTATTAGGAGAATTCCTAATATTATTATTTGGTATGAAGTACTTTTTTACATTGACAAAATTCATATTTACAAAACAAACTGGGAGAACCTACTATAGAAGTTGCTCCTGTTTACAAAAGAAAATTATTCAAAAGGTTTGTTAAAATTCCACTAACAAATAAATAAACTTATTATTACTTAATAAACTTTATTGAAACTATCAACTAATTTATTATTACAATAAAATGCACTTAAATCAAATTTGCTACTTTTCGAATTCGATATTAATAACATTGTATATAAGTGTATATATTCAATTCAATTAGTTGTATATAATTATGTATGTTGAGTGTGGTAAAATACAAGTGGTCTTTAACATATAAAATAATATTGAATATAAAAAAAGTTAACATTATATAGGAGTTTTGTTACTTATTCAATATAAATTTAAAGTTAATTTTTTATAAAAGTATATTAAAAATACTTTAACATATATGGCAATATTATTTAAGGTAGGATTTAACATGCAATATTAATTAATTATTACTATCTCAAATAAGAGAACTTAGTCACAATAGAATGGGATTTTTCGTTGCATTTTTAGATTTATGTATGCTTTTTTAATTTATTTGTATAGTATCACTGGTTTCTCATAAATAAACCAACGAATTTTATTAAACGGAAAAGTATGATTCATTTTGTGATATAATATCGTTAGAGATATCTTATATATCTTAACTAATATTTTATTAAGTAGATATTATAAACTCAAAGTTGCCTTTAAATTTTATTTAGTATAAGATAGCTGCTTTTAACTATTTTAATTTTTAATAATAATTATTTAAATATAATCAGTTACGCTGTTTTGTTTTATATCTATATGTCAATAAATATAATACATAATAATAAAGAACTGATAATATTTAAATCATACATTTGGAATAAATTAATTATAACTTTACAGTGGCAGCAATAGAAGCGTGGGCATCGGTGACGTCTACCGTTGCCACTGATTTTTGTTACATATAACTATACATGTTTGTTCGTGTAAATGTATATAATTTCTGTTAATTTATAAATTTTGTAGTTGAGATTCTAACGTCTCTTATGGCTTCCATAATCTTATCTTAATTTTAATGTAGGATTAAGGATTAGTTAAGTATATCTAAAAAATAGTATACAAATTATTCAATATAATCTTATAAAAACTGAATACTGAATATTATATAAATGAAGATGAATGTTGTGTACACAAAAACTAAATATGTAATGAAATGTGAGTTTTTTAAATGGAATTTTTTGAAGGATAACACTAAATTTTTAAAACTAATTAAGTATATAATATATAAAGTTAAGTTTTGATTATATATGGTCGTATTTTAGATAATAAATTCTATTAAATTCCTTCGTCACTATTTTCCTCCAATTCGTCATCAAGTAATAAACTCGTGGAACCATAATTACGGAGTCTACGAAAAAAGTAAAATGTGATTAATAATTATTATAATATTTTATCACTTTTTATTTAGTACTTTATAAATATTATATTTAAAAGTATTACTACAATACTATGAGAAAAAAATTAATATAATTTTTGTTATTAATTTCATTAAAAAAAAAAATAAAAGGAAATAAAAGAATATTAAGAGAGTTACATATAGATACTTACAAATATCAGTTTTCGATAATTTGATAATATAAAAACAAATTAGTAAAATTATTTAAAATCAAATAAAACATAGAAAAACTTTAAAATTCTTTGAAAAAAAATTTTTTTTTATAAATTTGAATGAATATGATAAATCCAACTTAACAAACTTACCTCATCATCGGATACCTTAAGACCATCTAAATTAATACTGTTTCTTGAATAGCTACCACCAGTACTACTACTAATGGAATTATCTTTTTTCTGATATTGCATATTACCGCCACCAATACTTCCTGCACCGACATTACCACCACCAACCGTTGAGGAATGCGAATGATCATCAAACAATTGCCGATTGATATCGTCTTTGGTTAGATTTGAATTTGTGTTACCACAAAGTGAAGCGGTGGTACCTTTCAACGGTAGCGCTAGGTTAGCCCTATTGCTTGACTGTTGATTACCAGACGATGTAAATCTTCCGGATAAACGTTCGCGTTGCTCGCGCTGGTGGTGATGATGTTGGTGATGCAAGTGTGATGGATTATCAAATTTTTGCTTGGCACGTTCAAATTCTAAATTACGCGATTTCGATTCAAATATATTCTCTTCCAAATGTGATGGTTTCGCATCAAAAAATGCGCTATTTTGTTGCATTAAAGTTCGTTCAGTATGACTTGAACGCTTTGACGAAGAATCCATACCATTGGAAGAATGACGTTGTGCAGATTGTGCATCATCAAATATTTGTCGTAGATCATTAATATTTGGCAAACAATCACTTGGAATTTCAACGGCAATTTTATTGCGTAATTGCACACCAGTTGTTATGCGCATTTGTGGACTTGGTGCACGTCTTATGAAGAGATTGTGTACGTTGTATTAAATAATTGTTGTAATATATACATATATATACATATTCAGTTCCAGTAAGCATATGTAGCATTAAAATTTATTATTTAAAATGTTAATGAAATGTTAGTATTTTTTTTATAATAAAGGTAAAATGAAATGGATTATTATATTAAACATTGAATAGCAGAATGTATCATCAAACCTTGTTTGTAAATGTTGTATTTGCACTTGTAATCCTTCACTCTGGCCAACCAATTCATCATTTGTACGTTGCAATCTACGTACTTGATTGACTGCAGAGTCTAATTCATCTTCTGCTCCTGCTAATTCTCGTTTCAATTCTTCAACTCTTTGACGCAATCTTTTAACCTAAAATAAAAAAATTAAAAACAAAAAGATTCAATGCTTAGTTCCATGTTTTTTACTTCAATAAAAACGAACTCTACCAAAATTCTATAGTTAATAATGGGAATCGTGAGATCGAAAATGTTTACATAAAGATTTGATGGTACTCAACAAGTTAGTCCAAATTTTTTTATTAATCATTGTAAATTCGTAGAGTTTACATAGTTATTAAAAACTATTAACTAAAATAAGAAATATATATTGCATTATAACTGTTTCATTCATCTACTGCAGTATTTCTATATTCTTGGATTTCTATATATTCTATATTTCTTTTATCCAGTGAATTTTATTTTTATTTAACACCACATAATATATATTATAGAAGATTTTAAATCTACTCCTAAAGACGGGCACTGACATATGGTACAGTTTTCTGAATTTCTATATATTCTACATTTCTTTTATCCAGTGAATTTTATTTTTATTTAACACCACATAATATATATTATAGAAGATTTTAAATCTACTCCTAAAGACGGGCATTGACATATGGTACAGTTTTCTTATCGTCAGAGCTACAACCAGTCATTATAGGTTAAACCCTGTCTCATAGCATGTCTACTCATTATGCAATGACCTGTCAGCAACGACACCATAGTGCTGAGCGGGCTACGCCTTAGTTGCAGTAGCTGAGTGGTATGTTTTTTTATTCAATTTAGACCAGGTCAACCTAGAGATCTGATAGCAGGATTCGTCTGCCCACTTTTGTTTGGCTATGCTCAGATATTTTTGTTTAGTTGCTAGTTTAACTATTACAAGTGGAACGTCAATATCTGAGAAGTAAATGTCATAAAGAAAAGTGCCTGCCTTGGCAAGCTCGTCCGCCCTACAATTTCCCGAAATAACTCTATCCCAGGATATCTCTATCCCAGGACACATGCACAATACTTTTAACTAAAATCTATGTATTATTTTAGACTAAGTCCCATTTTTGAATTCCATATGAACAGATAGGCTTCAGTATTACTTTGTAGATGATGTCTTTAGTGTTGAGAGATTAGAGAAGAAAATTATAGAAATCAATACAATGAACTAAATTATTTTCTGAAGGAACATGTAAAACACATATATCGAATTTTGACTCCAATGCATTTATCACTATCCGATTATCTTATATTATCATCATTCATTTAAAATAATGTAATAATAGATTGATAAGCGTTCCAGTCGTGTAATTCGAACATTTTCTATGATTCAAAATTAAAAAACAAATCTTATTCTATAAAAATAATTATTTTTTTAAATTATAACAGTAAATCTTAATGCGTACTAAAGATCACATAAGAAACAAGTAGATATGGTATAATTAAAAAGACTTATTTTGGTAGATTTGTTATTAATTTAAAATTGAAATAATAATGATATTATTATTATTATTATTATTATTATTATTAGGGGATGTAGCACTGCGACCGTCGGGTCTTTTGTGCCCCCTTCTGGGCTTAGAGTAGGTCTTTAAGCCTTGTTGCGTAAATAAAAAGTAGTATAGAACCTACTTTACAGAGTTTTATAATAATAATATAATTATTTATATTTATTTTAAATTATTATTTATATATAATTATGTTTTTTATTATAATTTTAAAAAATATATATTAAATCAAGTATTACTTACTGGTATATAAAGTTGTTGTAATTGTATTTAGAATATGCTTTTAAATTTGAGATATTTTTCCAGATTTAAAAAAATAATTCATACTCACACATAAATAAAAAATTCTTAAAATGTTAAAAACAAACAAGAAAATAAAGAATAAAACTCAACAAACAGCTGAGATACTTTCCACACACAAGCAAGATAAGAGACCTGCCTCAAAACAACATAAGAATGAGCTTTTTAGTATTGCGAGAGTAGCTGTGCTTGTTGGTGGTTAGAACTCAGACTGTGGACGTCGAAAATTGCTATAATTAATTGGAATTAGCATAGAATACAATAACAACAACAAAATAAAATATGATTGCGCAAAATCTAATCACAAAATTGCGTCCATGTATGCAACGTTTATTTGCTACAAAATCATCAACAGAAGCAGCAAAATTCAATTGGCAAGATCCATTAAATCTGGAATCACAACTAACTGAAGATGAAATCGCTATACGTGATTCGTTTCGTAATTACTGCAAAACTGATCTGCTACCGCGTGTCAAAATAGCAAACCGAAATGAAGTGTTCCACAGAGAAATTATGGAAGAAGTAGGCAGCTTAGGTGCACTTGGTTGTACACTTAATGGTTATGGCTGTGCCGGTGTATCCAATGTAGCGTATGGACTCTTGACTAGAGAAATTGAGCGTGTAGATTCTGCTTATCGTTCGGCTTTAAGTGTGCAAAGCTCTTTAGCAATGGGCGCAATATACGATTATGGCACAGCAGCACAAAAAGAAAAATATCTGCCCACCATGGCGCAAGGAAAGCTTATCGGTAAGTGTTTGGTTAAGAGATATTAAAAGTGATAAACATAAGCAATATTTTTATTGTTTTTTCTTTTGAATAATACTAATTTTTTTTTGCCATAAATTGATAAGCGACTTGTTTACAGGTGCTTTCGGTTTAACTGAACCAAATCACGGCAGTGACCCAGCAGGTATGGAAACTCGTGCCAAATATGACAGTAAATCAAAGTGTTACATACTTAATGGCTCCAAAACTTGGATAACGAATTCTCCTCTTGCTGATGTGCTTATAGTATGGGCTGTATGTGAAGATAGTAAAGTTCGTGGCTTTATAGTGGATCGTTCACAATCTGCAAAAGGTTTAGCCACACCCAAAATTGAAGGAAAATTCTCTTTGCGTGCTTCTGCGACGGGTATGATACTCATGGACGACTTACATGTGCCGGAAGAAAATCTACTACCTAATGTTGTGGGATTTAAAGGACCATTTGGCTGCTTAAATAATGCACGCTATGGTATTGCTTGGGGTGCACTTGGTGCAGCAGAAGCTTGCTTAGAAATTGCGCGAGAATATACTTTGGATCGAAAACAATTTAAGCGTCCATTAGCTGCAAATCAATTAATACAAAAGAAAATGGCAGATGCTACTACTGAAATAGCTTTGGGCTTGCAAGCTTGTCTACAGGTTGGGCGTCTAAAGGATAAACATTTACATACACCGGAAATGATTTCGTTGATCAAAAGAAACAATGCTGGAAAGGCATTAGAAATTGCACGTGCAATGCGCGACATGTTAGGCGGTAATGGTATATCAGATGAATACCACATCATACGTCATGTAATGAACTTAGAATCCGTAAATACGTATGAAGGTACCCATGATATACATGCATTGATATTAGGTCGTGCTATTACAGGAATTGCTGCATTTGCAAATTAAAATAATTATTATATGTTGTGTTAAAGACTTGCATTTAAAAATATAATTAGATATGCTTTATGTATTTTAAGTATCAAAATGAATCTTTAAGGATTGAATGGATTTTTTTCTTAAAGATATTATCAATAAAGATAGCCATACTACCATCTAAAGTTTACACTTATTGATAAAATATAATATATTGTAATTTTATAATATAATTCAAGGGTATAAATTAAAGCATAATTTATAAAAAATTTATAAAAAATCTTTAAAAAAAATCGCTGTTAAGTCATTTAAATTAGTCAAATATCATATACTCATATATATATATATCATTACTATCATGGTGTCAATAATTAATAGTTCTATTATAGTTAGTTAGTTGTGGTGGAGGGAAGACCGAATCCTCCTCAATCAGCTAAGAAAGTCGTTTTAAATCCACAAATCCTCCTAATAATGGGTACCAAAAAGATCAAGCTAGTACTAGCCAGAGGCATTTATAAAGGCAACAACCTGGCCAATGCTAAGGCTAGAGGTTAATTCTATTATAGAATATAGAATTTATTTTATAAAACTTAAGTTCACTGATAAACTAACTAATACTTCATTTCAGACTGATTCATTTTCAAACTTATCAGTATCGTTATTGAATGAATATTACGATCACACATGAAGCTTGTTTGATAAGAACGGAACCTGAAGTACTGAAAAATAAATTCTTCATAGTTGTGATGAAGAAATAAAATTCTGAAGTGATTCGATATTCTTCAGCAACGAGCCGGTTAAAAAGTTTGAATCAATTACACTAAAAAATTGTACCGGTTCCGGTTTAAACAATATTCATTACTATTTAAAATATTTTTTATTAAAATTAAATATTAAAATATAAAAGAATACCCAACAGAATACAATAATTGGAGAAAAATATCACTTCTAAACCTCATCCATAAAATTATGACCTTAATTATACCATCAATTCATGGAAAAAATTATAAAACTACATTACTAAATAAACAAACTGGATGCAATCTAGAAGAAAATATGTGAACCAATATTTGTCTTCTTTTACATTCCAATAATATTAATGCATAATATATAGTATATTATAAATTTTATATTCTCTATATAAAGTATATTATACTATATACCATATAAAATATTATACTATATATAAATATATATTATGCTATATAAAATTTTATATTCTCTATATAAAGTATATTATAATTTTATGGTAACTTATTTTTTTACTTTTAGTAGAGCTAGATGTCCAATAGGTGGCTATTGATTTTCTATCATAACAATTTTGTCAAAAAGGTGATTCCAAATGTTACGCATATTCTATTTCTTTTTTTTACGACATATCAAATGTTGAATATTTTTTATTCGAATTTCAATGAGTTCAACCAAATCTTGGGTAGACTCTAACAAAGCTTTAAGACTTTGCAGATGATATCTACTTACTATTATACACAGTCATCGACATCCAATCCCAAACTAATAACCTCTAATTATTGACAATAGTAGCTAACTTCAAAAAAAAACGATAACATTATAATTGTGATAGTTAATCCACTAACAGAAGCTCACTTGCAAGACATATGACTAAACGGCGTTCACCACGATTCTCACCAGAAACAAAGAACATTCAAAGTTAGTATCAAAGGCAATATGCTGTTTATATGCGAATCTTTGTTCGTATTAAAAAAGGTTGCAGAGAAATTACTATTTCACCTAAACAAATGTTATCAACTCATTAAAATTTACTAATTGGAAAAAATAAGTAAAGAAAGATTTAGCAGCAAGCAATATACAAACAAATGTAAAAATAAAGTGTCGGCTCCTAATATTTTTACTATTAACTTTACATCCCATATTCAATTGAAATGTTATAGAATAGTTTATAGTTCTAGGCAATGTTTAGTGATACTAACGGACCTGTTCTTAACTAAAATATACGCTCCTTACAAGCATTTTTTTATTGTGATTTGAATGCATGAAAAATGTTTTGACAATTTAAAATATATGCTCTTTTTTACGAACAGTTACGAACAGTTTTATATACAAAACACTTTACACCATAGTGTGGTGAGAAGCATTAGGTACTGTAGCTTTGAAATTTGTCAAGATGTGTCCAGAATACCAAAAAGCTTTCTGCTTTATAAAAATCAAAAATTTTATTAAAGAATTTCACAAATCTGTCAAGTGCACAGAATAGGTCCGTAAATCTGAATAGCTTTTGATCTAAAAATCAAGATAACCATTAAAGTAAAAAGAAAAAATTTTCTTACCTCCGCTTCATATTGTTCAGCTCTTCTCGCGGCATGACCCAATTCGGTATTTGTTTCTGAAAGCAGCTTTTTAAGTTTTGAGTGTGATATTTTCATTTCACTAATTTCCTGTTAAAAAAAAAAGTAGAATGTATTTGTAATTGCAAAAAAAAAAAAAGAAAAATATCACCTTATTTCTATCAGACAATTCCTGTTGCAATGCGCGTACTTCAACATCATTTGCTTGCATTGGACGACCTTTTCGATCAGAACGCTCTTGAAAATCACGTAATTCAGCACGCAATTTTTTATTATCGCGTTCCATGGCAAGTTTTTCCGTTTCTAAACGTTCACGTTTACCCCATTCGGAAGCATTCTCAGCTTGTAAACGTTCCAACTACATATAAGAATTATTTATTAATATTTTTCAATTTTGTGGATATTACTTATTTTAATTTACTTCTGTACGTAACTCTCCCAAACGTCTTTCAAGATTTTCACGTGAGGACACTTCTTCCTGAAGTGAATTGTTTACTATACGCATTTCAGCGCGATGTTGTTCTTGTAATGTGAGCAGTTCACGTACCGCTTCCTATTTATACAAACATAAATTACTTATTTGAATATTTCAAAGAATTTTTTTTAAAGTAACCTGTTTAGCTGCTCTCAATTCTTCCTGACGATCACGTAATTCTTGTACTTCAAGTGTTAATTTTTCAATATTTTTGTGTAATAAACTCTTTTCACTATTAATAAAGAATAATATTTGCATTAAATTTTTTTTTTAATATATTTTTTAATATTTAATTTTTTAATATATACGATGTTTATTTTTCGCACTTACTCTCTTTCAGCCTGCACAGTTTTTTGTGCTTCATCTAAACGTAATTGTAACATTGAGATCTTCTGCAACAAATATTCCTCATCAAAATCATCCTTTGATAGTTGCTGAATTAAACGTTTCTCCTCGGCTGCCACGTCATCTGCAATACAAATTTAAGAAAAATATAAATTAAATGAATGAACAATTAAAAAACTATAAATTACCCATATCACTCAAATTCTTAGGAACGGCACCTTTAAGCACAAACTCCTCTATATCAAGATCTTTCATATCATTACTGATTACTTTTGTGACCTGCAATTTTTGAAATTTATTATATACAAATTTAATTCAAAATGTCTGAAATATATTACTAAGCCATCTTCACTATTAACATTTTTGAGACCATCGGATGAAATGTCTGGCGAACAGTTCGCATCACGTCCATTAGCTTCTGCTTCTTCACCTGTATCTCCCAAACTAAAAATGAAATATATTTGAATTAGAATGTTAAATGTATACAAAGCGAAATATTAAATTTGCTAACCCTGCTTTATGGAATTGTCCAGCATGTTTCATCATCAGTGTGTGCACCTTTTCCATTTCTTTTTTAAGTTGTGTAATCTGCATTTCCAGATCATTTTTCTCGCGTTTATATGAATTTGCTTCTTTCATTGCTAAATCAAGATTTGTTCGCAGTTGTTTTGCTTCCTCCCTTGCTTTGTTACGTTCGTTACGTACCTTATTTTATATGTATAATAAATCAAGATAAATAAATAAAAATATTGATTTAACAAATTCATTTATATGTCAACAAATCTACCGGCAACGAAACGTTGCGACCGTATTGAATATATTACCTTACTCCATTTTTCGCGCCAATTCGCTGTACAATCAGACCACCATTTCATAGTTTTTTCCATTTGCACTGCACGAGCTCTGGCTTCTTCAAGCTCACGTTGCCTTTGGGACTGCAAAGAAATATGTATTATTTTATTGATTTTTAACACTTTTAAGTTTTTGGTAGTACTTCTCGTGCTTCCCATTCAGTATCACCGAAGCGAGCAGATGCTGAAGTTCCAATAACACCAGCATTTGTTTCAGTAGGTAAATCTCTTCTTCGTGACACTCCTAGCGATGAGGCTGAAGGAGCACTAACACCAACGCCACCAACGTTTTGTGACATTTTTACTTATTGAAGTGTGAAACTTCAATATTAGAAAATTCTAAATATTACACAAATATTATCGAATATTTAAACAAAAAAATTTATTTTTTTTTGCTCTGCTTATTTTGATATTGCAAAATTTGTTTATTTACTTTTTGATTTGCCAATACGTGCCAAAGATGCAGGAAATAAAATGTCAAAGTTACAATTTGTGTAAAACACTGAAAAAAATTATGTGAAATGTGTAGTATATTGTAAAGGCGTTTTCGATTGGTATATCTGGGATAATATTTTCAATCAAAAAGCACTATTAATGCACTTTTAATGAAATTTTCATTTTCGATTTGTAAATCTGAGGAAACATGTATAACATTTGACATTCATTTATAACACTCTAGATATTTTGCTAGAATAGCATGATTACGCTGAAACTAGCATCTGTTTTATATAATTTGACAGAAAAAGTGTGATTTGGTTCGATAAGTGTATATATGAAAAGTATAAATGTCTAATAAAAATACTATAAAAATGTTAGAATACTCTAAATATGTTAAATTTGACAAATCGAGAGAAAACGTAAATTTGAATCCAAATTATCTAATAGGAAACGCCATAAGTAATACCTATCTACAAAATAATAGATTTATATGCATAAACAATTAGTTTTTTGTAATACTTTTTTAACAAATTTTTAATTATAATGATTTTATAATATAATTATAATTAATTTCGATTTTCATATAAGTTACACTTAATGCTGTACATATATGTATTAAATTTATTGCTATAGTGTCACTGCAATAAATTTATTTTATATGTTTTTATTAATTTGTTATTAAGTTGTAAAATTGATAAAATTGATAAAACGATATAAAAATAATATCAAATTAAATTAAAAATAAACAAATATACAAGCCAGAAAATACTAAATTACAATATTTTAGTTAAGTTATTGCAATATGTAGGTGTAAGTACTGCACAAAAAAACAAGTCTTTTAATAAAGTTTCTTCCTGGCAACACCATCGCAATCTATCAAACACCTTTTGCACAATTTTTAAACTTGTGAAACATATTATTTTTATTGTAATGCTTGTTATTCAAACAATTTATTTGATATTCGTCAAAGTTTTCATTAAGGGTTCAGAACAGTCCACTTATCGTTTTAGTAACATTATTTTCTGCAATCTTATAGATGATTGAAGGTTACGTAGCATATCTGTTAGAGTTAATGTAGTATTCTTGTTTTCCATATAAATTAGGAACTTCAACAAGTGACATTTTTTTTGCCGCACTTCGGAGTGGTCGAATACACAACTCCAATAATTTAATTATTAATACCATATTATATTATTGTAATACTTATGTTAATGACATTGATTAAAATTAATATACAAAGGTATGAATTATTGTTATCTTGTTATATTAACGTAATACTATAATTTAAAAGAGAAGAATTGAAATATCATACTCTAATGGCAATAATATATTTAGACATTGGTATCATTTTATATGACAGCAATGAAATAATTAAATAAAAAGCATTTTATAAATCAATTCAAATAGCAATAATAATATATTTCGCATATATTTTATGTTAAATAAAATTATTAGTCCATATTACCTCTTACTAGTATGTACAATTTTTTTCTCGTTATAAATAATGTTCTTATTAAATAATGGATTTCAAACATCGAACCTAATTTTTTTTTATTCATAGTTTATTATAAAATATATACATATTATAAAAAATGTATAATAAAATAATTATAATGTATTTATTTCTAATACTATTATTAATGATTAAAAATTATGATCACATTATATATTTATTATGTATTATAATTATATATAACATTGATGCGTTCGGAAATCTGTAATAATGACAGCTGTCAAAACTTACCATAAAATTTTAGGTTCAATGGTTAATTTTTGGCGTTTCCTTCTTTTGACAAAGCGAAGCCAACGTGATTCCGTCTTTTTCCGCTTTACATTCTGAAGATGGCGGTTGGTAAAAATAAGGGTCTCTCCAAAGGAGGCAAAAAAGGTGGCAAGAAGAAGGTAATTGATCCTTTTTCACGTAAAGATTGGTACGATGTGAAAGCACCAAACATGTTTACCACTCGCCAAATTGGCAAAACTTTGGTAAACCGTACTCAGGGCCAAAGAATCGCTTCCGACTACTTGAAGGGACGTGTTTTCGAAGTATCGTTGGCTGACTTGAAAAAAGACAGTGATCCAGAACGTTCTTTCCTTAAGTTCCGTTTGATTGCTGAGGATGTACAAGATCGCAATGTCTTGTGTAATTTCCATGGTATGGATTTAACAACAGACAAGTACAGGTGAGGCTCACAGTCTGGACATCAAATGTTGAAAAAAGTGAAAATACAATTTGAAATGAGAAATATAAATGTGAGAATAAAGTGCAATATGGTTTAATGTGAAATTTAGTTTTGAATATAGTTTAAATACTCAAATGTAGTTAAAAAATTAATAAGAAATGATTTATTAAATTCCAGATTGAATATAATATTTCAGTAAAGTTTTAGGTTAGGAAATTGTTTGTATTTGCAAACAATTGCACTGTGAAAGCGTATAATATAATATAAAAATGTAAATTTGTACCTTAATTACTTAAAAAAAGTTGACAATAATATCGTTTTTAACTTTTGTAAGCATTTTTAAAACTAAAGCGGATAAAAAAAATTTTTAAACGAACACGTGTAAAACAATCACTTCTATTAAATGGAATTTTTAATGTTTAATTTATATGTAGTGGAATAATCCGGAGACATTAAGTTCAGACTTAACATAGTTCATAAAATGTTTAGTCCCTACGAACCTCCAAAATAAATTTGTTATACTGAAAAAAACACTGCACATTTTAGTGGGCATTGTGAGCATGTATGCATACAAATAAAAAAATTTCTTGTTATTTATCATTAAAATATTATAAAAGTGTTCAATTAATATATATCTGTTCACTTTCAGGTCAATGGTCAAGAAATGGCAAACATTGATTGAAGCCGTTGTTGAAGCTAAGACCACTGATGGCTATTTGTTGCGAGTATTCTGCATTGGTTTCACAGCTAAGGATCAACAATCTCAACGCAAAACATGCTATGCACAACAATCCCAAGTACGTAAAATCCGTGGAAAGATGACTGAAATCATCACTAATGAAGTTACCGGTGTTGACTTACACAAATTGGTACAAAACTTAACATTAGACTCAATTGCCAAGGATATTGAAAAGAAATGTCAACGCATTTATCCTTTACATGATGTATACATTCGCAAAGTTAAAGTATTGAAGAAGCCACGTTTTGAATTATCTAAACTTTTGGAAATGCATGGTGATGGTGGTGGCAAGGGTACTGAAGCTGTTGTATCAGCTGAAGGTACTGTTATTGATAGGCCCGAAGGTTATGAACCACCAGTACAACAGTCTGTTTAAGTAGTTTGGTGTCAACAAATTAAGATACTATCATTTGTTTAAATGTAGAAAAGAGAATTCATTTTAATACACTATACTACAAAACTAGAAAATATGTTTCGTATTTATCACTAAATCTTTGTGTTTTTAATTAGAATTGGAAATGCATTTTATGCAATCAAAGTTATGGGAAGGCGTTTCTTTTTCTTACATTTATTTGCAGATTCTTTTTAAAGGGTTTTTGCCGCCTGCCTGACTACATTTTAAAAGGTAAATATATTTAATATTGTCTAAATATTTTTTTTTTATCACATTTAAATGATGTTATAGTATTTTTCGTCGCTGATTATATATATATTGATGTTATTTTTCACACTGATTATTAAAAAACCTTTTTATTTAAATTTCAAATCATTGCTTTGCTAAAATGGAGTTTTTTTTACATTGTAGGTGCATAATCTTTTGAACTATATGAAAAATCATAACAAATTACAATATAATTGTGGGTTCCAAGAACATCCCGGAGCTACTTGACGGCCAAGTTCCTTTCAACACCTAAAGGGATTTCACAAGCATGTCCCAGCGGGTTACAACAAAAACATTATAATTGTAAGATGTAAGTTTAAATAAAAAACAATGTTATTTGCTGCATAAATGATGTTAAAATTATTTATTTGCTACTACTGAATAGTTTTTGCTGAAAATACAAACTGATTTTTAAAAGTTTAGAAATATATTAAATCGTTGAAATTTCAAGCAGATGACTAATTCTTTTTTTTTTTTTTTCAGATTGCAGAAAAAATGGAAAAGCTTACACCATGCGTATGCCATCAGCTTAAATTTCATTGTTATGTGAGGTAATAAAATGTTTAAATAATTATACAAGTAATTAAAAAAATGTTTACATAAATTAATACATTTTTTAAATAATTTTTTAATATAATAAATTTTTTGCTTTATGTGAATTAAATGTAATGAAATATTGTAAACATTTCGGAAACTTTTTCTGTGTAAAAGAAAAAAAATGTTATATTCATATTTTAGGCTAATTTGACTATTTGATTGTAAGACAAGTAAAAACAATAATATTTTTTAAATTTTATTATTATTGTCTTATTTCATAGTCCAACAAAGTTCCTTTGGTATTTTCTGACAACTTCAGGGGTAGATAAATTATTATTTTTATAATTACAACAATTATAAAAAGAAATTATTAATGTTATTAAACTATTGAATAATATATATAGAATATTGTATCCGTACAATTATTATATATTAATATATTTAAAGAAATTGGAAAAGTGTGATAATATGATATAAAACATTTAAACATTAAATTCAAAAAAAATTTGAATTATTTTTATTTGTCATTCAACTTAAGACCAGTTTAGCTTCAAATACGAATATAAAATACTTTTTCATTTAATATTTTCATAACAAGAGAAAAAGTTTCTATTTTCATTTTATTATACATGATGTTATTTTTTTATTCGATTCATTTGCTACTCTGTAGAAATAATGATGACAAATATTAACTGATAATAAATTGAAATTTCAATGTATATTTTGCACATAACATAACAAAAATTACAATAAAATTTTCTTAATATTTGCAGATTGTTTATTGTCGGAAAACATGTAATAAAACTGGTAAGTTTCATTGTTTTTATTAAAAACAAAATAGTTAATTTCATATCATGCATAAAAAGTTTATTGATTTTGTAAATTTTTTACAAATCATATATATTAGTCATATCCAAAACATTTTTTTGGATATGATTGCATTTTTATTTCTACATATTGTCTTGAAGAGACTCGGTTTTGTTGAACATTAAAAAAATATTTCTGTTTAATTTGTATCAATTAAAATAATTTTAAATAATATATCAGAAAATGTTTTAAAATATTTTTCATTAGTTAATCAGGTATTTTTCCTAATTATGCACATTTTTGTAAAATAACAAAAATAAATCTCTCTTTCTTTTCTAAAGAGATTTTGTTGTTTTGTTTAAAAAAACTTAGAAAAATTTATATGTATTTAAAAGTTAATATTTGAATAAAAATTTATTATATAATAAAAGATTTATGGCATGATATGAAATTGTTGAAAAAATTAAAAGCATAATTTTCGTGATGAATAATTTTGGATGAACATATTGAATATATAATGTAATATTTTCTTTGATAGTAGAACTGATAATTCCTACTTCCTTTTATTTCTTTTATTTTTACATAAATAAATCTAATAATTGTTTTAATTTTGCAGAATATTTGCTGATGACTTGCTGGAGAAAATCAGAATCGTTGGTTAAACTAATATGTGATAAAATATAATAATGATATAATGGGATTGCAAGTTCTAAAAAAAATCATCAGTTGTAATTAGGTATGTATATAATAAATTAAATAATCTTTTAAAGTATATATTTAAAGTATATATTAACTTTTATGATGACAACTTACCCAGCTCGCTTTGATAAAACTATGAAGAGAATTTGTTCTAATTCCAACGCTTATATATTCTGATTCTATTATGATTATTATATTATAAACATTAATATATTATTATTTAACTAAATTAATTAATCTTTTCAGGTTATATATATGCACCAGAACATATCTGTTATATAATCCAACAAACTCAATTGAATATTTATGGATGAGGTACGTAGATTTAATTTGAAATTGATATAATCAGCTATTAAGTATATATGATGACAACTTACCCAGCTCGCTTCGATGCTACTATGAAGAGAATTTGTTCTATACCAACGCTAAATACTTGCTGATATATTATTAAATAATTTTAATAATTTTTTTGTTAACTATTATATGATTAACGTATTTAATTAATTTATTACAGAAAGCATCGATACCGGCAATATATTTACATTATAAACGCATTAATAAAAAAAATGCTGTTGTGTATAACTGTTCAGAATATTCCCACCCCTTTATGAATTATGATGTCTATATTTTAAGGAACTGATCTAATGACGACTCAGATATTAAACGATTTTAAATTTTATGAGATCATACAGTACTCATAAGCAGAGTTAAGCTTATAAAAGGTATGTGAAAATTAATTAACGAAATCTATACAATTTATGTACTTTTCAATAAATATTATTTTAACATTTCTATTTAATTTTTTTATAAATTTTATTAATATCTTTTTAATTAAATTTGGATTAGTATCATAATAATAGTAACATAACATTTGCATTAGTTTATATTTCGATATAGTTAAATGTAATTAACTGTGTTAATTTAACATTAATATTTTCTAATTGTACAAAAGTTAATTTGTATTTTATTTTGTTATTACCATATAAATTTAATTGTTAAGCACATAAATTGTTGTTTTTTTTTTATTTTATTAAATATTATAGTTATTTTTTTTATTAAATATTATATTTATTTTTTTTTTTTATTTTATTAAATATTATAGTTATTTTTTTTTTTTATTTTATTAAATATTATAGTTATTTTTTTTTTATTTTATTAAATATTATAGTTATTTTTTATTTTATTTTATTAGATATTATAGTTATTTTTTGAAAGACTTTAGTATGTTATTTACATGATGAGTTTTTTTCGGATTCCCCATCATTTGATTGTTAAATGAGACACATCCATTCTGATAAAGTTTTTCAATTTCTACATTTTATAAAAATATAAATATATTTATTATTATACTAATATCAATTTATTATAATTTTTTCAGATCAATTTCGGATTCATGCTTTTTGGAAAGTTACAATAATTATAAAATTAATGACCAGATTTAGCTGACATTTTAGGAGGTAATTTATTAATATATGAAGTTTTTTTTATGTGTTTATTTTTTTTTAAATGTTTTATGTTGTTTAAAATCAATTAATTTTATTAATTTTTTTTAAACATAGTTTTTGTAAGTAACTATATTTTAAATATGGGGGTGAGGGTTTTTTTTAGTAAGTTTTTCAATAAATTTTGTTTTTTAAAAACTACAAATTTTTTAAATCTTCGAAATGTCGTTAGAAAATATAAAAATTAAATTTATGTCTATCGAATTATAATGCGTATATTAAATAATAACATGTAATATTATTATGATTGAAGTAACATTTTGGTTTTTTATATTCCACAGTTAGAGTAACTAATTCGATATAATTTCGAAACGTAGCTAGAGTTACATAGAATTCCAAATTTAATACATTTTTTTTTTATTATAAAAATATTGTACTTAACAAAATGTGTCTTCTAATTTTTGTAAAGACATGTCTTCTGTTTTTATTATATCCCGCTTCCTTGTTTCTGTTAGGCTTTTTGAGGATTGATAGATCTTCCATGTGATTTACAATAATTATATTTAATATTATATTGTACGTATCTATAAAACCTATTCGATATTAGACATATCTACTGATTACAGGTTTTATAGCACAGACCTTAATGATTCATTAGAAAGCAAGAATTTTGTCAAATTCAAAATGACAGTAGTTTATTTTACATAACTTTGATTTTTTGGGCACGACCGGGGATTTTAGTAAAATCAGCTATTTTGACATTTATTTGACATTGCGACAGCCAGCCACAGTGTGTAACTTTAATTCACTAAAACCACCTATTGGGAATGAATAGAGAAAATTTCTACCACTGACGCCGAAGTGCTAGCATGCAAGTAATTTGGAAAAGAAAGTTGACATAAAATAGCTTAGTACTTGAAAGTCTATGATTATCTATGCCAGACTATATAAAACATATATATTTCAAAAATGTATTTATGATGACAACTTACCCAGCTCGCTTTGACGCAACTATGAAGAGAATTTGTTCTAATTCCAACGCTTATCTAATCTGATTTGATTATAATAATATAATATATTGATTTATGATTATAAATGTAATATATTGAAATGATTTTTTTTTTTTTTCAGATTGACAGCTATGGAGCTTATGTGCGAAACTGAATTTCACACAAAAGACCAGTAAATGCAGTTCAGTGTTTATGAAGAGGTAGGTACTTTTCTTAAGAAAAAGTTTTAATATGCATTTTAAAAATATATATGATGACAACTTACCCAGCTCGCTTTGATGCAACTATGAAGAGAATTTGTTCTAATTCCAACGCTAAATACTTGCTGAATATATAAAAAAAAATTTTTAATAATTTGATTGTTAAATTGTTTATTAACATATATCATTTATATTTTACAGATAATGCGGATATGTACAATGAACTAATCGTAATCGTATTGCAAATGTTGAGAATGAGTAGTTCTCTAATTGATATTTAAGTGAACGAAATTTTCAATTGGTGAAATACTGGCTAATCTATATTTATACGGTATGTGTAAATTTTTAGAATGTATTATAATTATTTTTTGCTTATACATTTTTATGTGATGATACTCTCAATCCGACGCTATGATACATATATGAAATAGCTTATTTAGTACTGATTTTTCAAAAAATTCTTTATAATCAATAACAAGTTTTTGTATTTATCACAAAAGAGAAACTAATTTTTGAGATTTTCCTGCATTAGTATGTCTTGTTATTGGTTGTAAAAATTTTAATTGTTATAAACTTATTTACTTAATTTATTTTTTAATATAAAATTTAAAAAAAATTTTTGTTTTTTTTTCAGCACTTATAACAACTTCAAATCTTCTAGAAGTATTAGTATGCAAGAAGGTAAGAATTAATTTCATATATGCTTTATTTTATATGTTCACATGATGAGTTTTTTTCGGATTCCCCATCATTTGATTGTTAAATGAAGCACATCCATTCTGATTTGATTTTTTAAATTCTTCTTTAAAAAAATTATTAATGCTAAATATTAATATAAAATTTCAATTGTTATAAATATATTTACTTAATTTATTTTTTAATATAATATTTAAAAAAAATTTTTGTTTTTTTTTCAGCACTTATAAGGACAACTTTAAATCTTCTAGAAGTATTAGTATGCAAGAAGGTAAGAATTAATTTTATATACATTGTGACCGAAAAGTTTCCTTTGCGTTTTAAATAAACGCAAAATTCTTAATCTTCATCAATATTTATTTTATCTCCTTCAAAATATGCTCCATTAGAAGCGATACACAAATGCCAACGTTTCTTCCAATCATCAAAACATTTTTTATAGGCGCTTTCCGGTATGGCTTTGAGTTCCCTCTGCGAATTCTGTTTTACGTCTTCTATGGATTCAAAACGCGTTCCTCTGAGTGGTAATTTGAGGTTGGGAAACAGGAAAAAGTCACACGGTGCAAGATCAGGTGAATACGGTGGCTGTTCGATGGTATTTATTGAATGTTTGGCCTTAAAATCGTTGATAATGTTGAACAAATTGAGGTGAATCGGAACAAGCCGGGCGTTGACACGTCGCATACACAAATTGTCCACCAAAATCAAACGAGCCATCTCACGACCGATGCCTAGCTCTCGTGCTATCTCTCTAACACTCACATGAGGATTTTTGAACACGATTTCCTTTGCCTTTTCAATGTTTTCGTCGGTGGTAGAGGTCGAAGGTCGTCCAGAACGCGGCATGTCTTCGACGGTCGTACGACAGTCCTGAAAGGCTTTGTACCACTCATAAACTTGAGTTTTCGATAAAACTGATTCCCCATAAGCCTTTTGTAGCATTCGCAACGATTCTGCACACGAAATTTCGTTCGAAAAACAAAATTTGATGCAAACTCTTTGTTCAATATTTTTTTCCATTGTTTTTTTCGCAACGCACTACTGAGGTGAACTGGTTTCAACAGCTGCCGTAAACGAACTGTCCGACAGATCGCGCTCATTTTTGGCATAGTAATTAAGGAGTGCTGCCAAACTACATAAACTTAAAATATCGAAAAATATACAGCGCGCGAATTTTAAATGAGAACCTCCGAAAACTTTTCGGTCACAATGTATGCTTTATTTTATATGTTCACATGATGAGTTTTTCTCGGATTCCCCATCATTTGATTGTTAAATGAAGCACATCCATTCTGATTTGATTTTTTAAATTCTTCTTTAAAAAATATATTATGCTAAATATTAATATGCTAATATCGATTTCTTTCAGATTAATATGTAAATTATTAAAACGGTTTTATAAAAGTTCATTTAAAATGAATTGTCGGATACCACGGATGTTGAAATAGGTAATTAAATGAAACTATGAATTTATAAATTATTTCATATAAAATGCAGTTTAATTTCAAAAATGAAGTAATTGTCTATTTTAACATTGGCTATATAGTATATAATGTATAATTACTTTCTTTTTATATTTGAAAATTCTATAAAAAAATTTATACAAATTTTATAGATTTTAGGTAGATTTATTTATTTATATTTAAATCATCAGATCATATTTTTAGGCCGTGTGCTAGTTCGAGTAAATTGAGGTAAAATAAATTACAATTTCTTAGGGATTTTTTGCACGGCTTATATAAATATTTATTTATTAATTGCACTTATTTATTATTTTTGGTTAAAAGTCTTCAACTTTATTTATTAAACATCTTATAAAGATTTAATTTACCTAATTTTTATCTACTCGAAATTACCTATTCGAAATTCTGGTAAAAAACAATTTACCATTAATTTACACGAACTCGCACAAGGCCTTAAATGAACCAAGTATGAAATTCAAAGAAAATAAAATTTTTAAATGGTGGTTGTTGGTATAGAATTATTTTATTATTATAATTTTATTGATTTATAACTTTAATCGATTTTTTAGGTATTTTATGAAGAAGAATTAAATTGTTTTTGTTGAAGTAGTTAGATTTTATTTAACTGGTTCTACGTCTATCACCACTCTGTTATTGATGAGTCAGTCATTAAATCATTATTCATATTGTAATAATAATTCTATTGCCAAATTTTTTCTTAGGGCTAAGCTATGGGCTGGTCCGAATTGTTTCAAAAAAAATTCGTTAGAATACTACAGACTTAGTAAGAAATGATTAAACTATGTTAATTATATGAAAAAAAGAAAAGAACTATTCATGTTTTAACACTATTTTTTTACATTTTGCTTTATTTACATTATAATTATACTCGTATATATAATATTGTAGATTAATTTGTGCAATATATAAAGAAAAATCAGATTTAAAAAATTGTACGTGCACAGTTTTCAAAAAATTAATAAAATTAAAATAAACCGATTTTATGGTTATTATTTAAATTTTGCTATGTACATTTTGGTTTTATTTTTAAAACGCAAAAAAAATATTCTTGCCTTAAAAACTTAAGAGTTGAATTAAACATTTTTTTTTAAATAAATATTGTAATTACAATTTTCATCTTGTATTTTTATAAAATTTAAGTACATTTATATATTAATAAAATCTACCGTTAGATACAGTTATTAAAAAACTTAAAAAAGATATTTTTTTTGCAGGGTTTATTTTTGAATCCTGCATTTTAAAAGTTAAATTTGAAGTTCGAAAAAAAAATAATTTTGCATATTTTACATTTTTAGATCTATGACAATGATGATGAAGATGCATTACTTTCTACACAGTTGGCATGCGTGATTGGATACATCAAAAACAAATACCACACACATTCTAAATTTAGTACAAAGGATATACAGTAAACATTTTTTCAATATAATTCTTTTTTTCAGGTTTCTTACATAGTTTTAGACTTAAATATTAACAACAAAATATCAATAAATAATAATTTTATAAAAACTAAGAGATTTTTTATTTGAATAAATAATAACATTTAAAACATTTTGTACTTAAACTTTAGGTTTGAATTTGGGTAATTCCTTTATACGCTCTCTCCGTTTATGTTCCATTTCCTTTGCCAATTCCCAAGATTCCTTATCGAGCACTTTTTTCCCTCTTGCTATTGCTAGCAAGCGTGACAATGTGAGCAAGGAATGTAATTCATCGCTGCTATTGATAATTTTGTCTTTACGCATTTGTACATAATCTGTCTGTATCATTTCCATATTCTCCGGATCCATAGAAAATTCACAGAGTTTTGCTTCCGTGATGAAACGTCTAAATTGATCTAGCCGATCAGGTTGCAAATAATGATGTGCAGCTTTTAAAGTTTCCATAATTATTTCTGTGGTGTTGTCATCGGTGTTAATTGGAATTCTAAAATGCATCTGTATAGATATAA